CACTTTTGTCTGGTGTAATGAAGTGCCTTTGCGCGACTGTCCCATTCACACAAAAAACAGCAAAACTTTGTGTAGCCTAGCTGCAGCCCAAGTAAAAGTGCAACAACTTTCAAATCGCCACAAATATGCCATTGGTGCTCATCGTATTTTATGCATGTCAATAGGTACTTCATATTGTCATATGATTCTTTCATGTGAACTGCATACCCTACAGGAAGAGATGGTAAAATATTTCCAATATGCAATAACACTGCCTTTAAACTCAATGTTGGACTGTCTATAAACAATCTCCATACTTCTGGGTTATAGTTTATATTTAAAGCCGCCAGTAAGCCGTTAATGTTACTGCAGAAAACCAAGTTATTCTCCATATTGAAAAATGGTTCTAAGTCTTTGTGGCGTTTACGAAAAACACATACCGAAACATCGTCTTCTAACAAGTTCCACTGCTGCAGTCTTGATCCAAGTAACTCTGCCTTACATTTTGGAAGTTCTAAAGCTCTTACAAGATCATTTAATTCTGACTGTGTTATTTGGTGCGGTTGGTGGCATGACGTGCTCGGTATAAAATCAGGATCTCTTGACGTTGATGGCATATCTTCTTCCTGACGAATCACTCGATCGCCATGATCTGATTCGTTTTCTGATTCGCAAGTGTAGGATTCTGGGGGTTTTGGAATAGGATTTTCGTTACTGTGAGGCACAGGTCTCATCGCAGATGGTATGTTTGGGTAGTTAATAACCGATTTTTTTTTCTTGGACATACCTGTGGCTTGTCCAACGCAAGCTACCATGCAAAAGTAACAATCATTAATATGATTTGTAGGCTCTCTGCAAACCATTAGGACAGCAAAGCGCATAGACCGTTTTTTGCCATTTAACCAGCTCCTCAGACTTGAAGCACATGTATTACAGCAGATGTGGGGTGCCCACTATTTGTCTTGATCACCTAGTTTACAACCGAAATAAAGCTGATATGCCTTTGTTATTAGTGGAGTAATAGACCGTCTCTGAGACGCAAAAGTCATCACCACACACGTAACAAAACTGATCTGGATTGTTTACACACTTTCGAGACGTCTTGCATGAACGCTGTCAGCCAACTGAGGAAAAAATGGCTAATATAAAACAATATAATGTACACGTATGTATAACGTAACACAATCATGCCGATTACATCATCTTTCCTTGCCGAATATAAAAATGTAGCACGTGCATTCTTGTGAATTACAGTATATTAACACTGTCACAGCAGGAACACACATAATTACCATATCTCTAAAACTTGAACTAATATTGAAAAAATAAGTTTCATTCTGGTTTTAGCACATTAAAAATAGTAATATTTTGTTGATTTTATTTAGGATATTTTTTGGCTGCTGATCAGTGATTATTAACTTTCTGGTAGACCATATAATATTCCTAAACGTCACCTCGCCATATCCAATCGATGGAACGATTACAAATTGCATGTGTATATATCCGACAAAAATTCTATCCGACAGGTTAGGATGAAAAATGAGTTAATTTTTTGCTGGTCTACTCGCCACTGGAAAGTGGCGAAAGCTGCTTTCAAAACAATCGACGCGTTGGGTTATAAATATCTCACCTGAAATCCTGGGATAGTGCCGAAAAAGCTCCCGGGCGCCCTCCAAATGAATGAGGGTCGATATAATTGAATTAACTATGGCAGCTTCTTTCACTGTGTGGGTTCAAATGTCGAGAATATATCTGTCTTTGATACAGTGTTGCCGTGGTCACAATACAGAGCTAAGTTTTCTGTCACCTTAAAATATGTTACTGCTTTGCATTGATTCTATCTAGTCTATCTGAAGATATACATGAATGAGTCAGTATCCGAGTATATCAGAAGTGAACCAAAAAAAATTTCGTCAAGTTGGTTCACTTTGCACTTTCCATGCAACGTTTTTATCAGTTCATAAAAGGATTATGTTAAGTTAAACAGATTAAGGGTAAATTTCACCAGGATTGCTAAATCAACAAGTTGTTATTTTCCACCTGTAGGGTAACAGTCAAATATAGCGAATGACCTTCAAGATACATTCAACAAATTTTAGCAACCAATAGCTGTGAAATATTGAAAACAACATATTGTCAAAGTATGGGATGACAGGTTGTCATTGAAACATCACCAGCTTATTGAATATTAAGAAATTAAGTAAAAAAAAACGTGCGATTTTCGAATAAAATTTTAGGAATGCAGAATGTGCTGTTTGTTTACATTTGGTATGGAATCGATAATAAGTTGTTTTTGATGTCACAAAAGATGATGAACCAGCTGGAATACGTTTTATATACTTTTTTGCACAATAAAAAAATCGCTACATTTCTACAGGTACGTATCATGTACCCTGTGTCTGATATAGAGACAAAAACTAGGTTGTCATGTATGGACAGTCATCAAAAACAGTGGAAGCATCCCATTAATAATAGCTAGAAAATCGACCTACTATTTATTGCATTTTCATTGGTCCATTCAAATAAGTCTCCGTCTTTTATGAAATAATAGAAATTGGCGAATCTTTGAAAGTTATCCTCATTCTAAAGCTCAAAGTAATGATATTACAGCTAGACTGTAAAGTTATTTATAAAACAACCGCTTTTTCACTATTGAGCCTTGACTGCTTCCGTCAAATTGCACTTCAATGAGCTGTCAACCTTTCGAAATGATTTGCCATTTAATAATAAAATAATTCCGTCCTAATCGAACCTGATCAGTCCAGTTTTTTATTCGTCGACCATGTGTTCCCTTCACTGTTGTTTAAAAACAATTTCAGCAACAATCTTGCCGACTTAGTAAATAATGTTTCCAGCTCCAGACGATGAAGACGCAGATCTTCGAAAGCTTGAGCTCAAGTTATAAGAGTGTACTTTTGCAATAATTTGCCTTCTACCCAAAGAAATTCAAGGATATATGTTGTTATTGCATTAATTGACCTTGACTCCAAGTCACGACGAACATCTGGTACACGCACCGCTCCCTCTCAGCGCGACAAAGAACCGAATTCCAGCAAACTTCGTCCCCATCTGCAGCATCACCCCGGAGAAGGCAGTCGCTACAGACAGGACCGAGCTCAGAAGTAGGGCGATGCGAAAATAAATACCCCCCAGGGGATTGAATCAATCTAAGTTGCATTACAATCTTATCACAAGGTTGCTTCTTGGCGTATGCTCCAGCTCGCGCTCTTACCGCGGATTCAGTATAAACTGAATTTTATCGATGGCCATGTTTGCATCGGGGCTAACTGAAACTTTAGACGAAGAATGAGGAATGAGGCAACAATCAACTATCCTCTATTCAACGCATGAGGTCTATCGAAACAAGACACAGAGCACCATCTATTATCAGAATTGACCACGTCATGAAATTAAACCAGTATGACAAGATTGTAAGAAACATCAACGGTATAAATAGTCAGGAAAGGAGCATGTACACAAGTTCACCTGATGACGATTGAAGATCACACCAGCCTAAACGTCCTTGGAATCCATAGACAATGATAGTCCGAGAAACATCTCGATCCGGATTCATACCACATTGTCTACAAGTTCCCCGCGTAATGCTACTCTAATGAAATTAAGCGACATTCCGGTGTATCCCCACAAAACGCACATTATATTGCGCCTCGCCTTCATAAATAAGGATAAGTGTAGTAGTCAAATCTGTGAGATTTGACTGCAAGCAGAGCTACTACACTTATCCTTATTTATTCCGGCGAGGCTCATATAATTAGGATTACACTTCACTTAGGTAAGTTTGTTTCATCTCTCAATTATATGTGCCAATATCACGAACAAACTAGGGAATATACTCGTATTCAGTGTTGCAATAGCGCAGATCACATTAAAGCGTGTATAATGCATATTTGTGCTAATTTTGGAAACATTAGCAAGCGCCATTAACTATGTTGAAGGTAACCATGCACGCCACTCTAAAGGGTTTCCCAATCATGATGTTACTGATACTGCAATTCTTTATGTCAAAACGCGATCTCTTATGTCAGATTGCGAATTAAAAAAGTGCGATTTCATACTTATTTCTGAAATGGAGCAAAATTCATTGACTTTAATTTTAACAAACACCTGATATCAAGTTGCCTTAGGAAACAAAAGTTTGTTTACTTAATTTACTGTCAGCTGACATTGATTTATTTTGGAGTTTTCGCTTTCAGATGTGGAATAAATTGAAGAGTACCGGTAATTAAGGTTTACGTACTTGTTGGAAAGTAAAATTGATGATAAATAAGCCGTAAAGGATATCATTACTAAACAGTGTGTTTATTGGTAAAATAGATTTTACAAAATGAACTTTTACTCAAAACTAGTAACGTAACAAACAAAGGATGATGTTCAACTCTGGAGTCGTGCCACTTTTCCGCTGTTTTTAGCGTCTATTCGCGGATCATCGACATATTCAACACTGCTGTCTTCTGGATGATCAAGAGATATTGAGTGTTGATAAAATGCCTCGCTAGAAACTTGGTCAGATCCTGCAGATCCTTCCATTTCTTACCTTTAATTGGGATTGGGCGCTGGTAAAGTTTTCTTAATGTTTCTTCTTCTCGTTTTTGTTTATCTTTTTTAGATTCTTCCAAATTACCTTATCAAATTTAGAAGTAGAATATAGGCCCATGTATGCCGATTTGTGAAAAACTACGCGAGGATTCTGTTTATAAAACTTGAGCATCCTGACTGGTCGGTTTGGAAAGGGGCACTTCATTGGATAAAACGGCGATTAAAATATACTCCAATCTTGAAAATCAAATTTTTTGCCACAAGAAATCATCTCTCCAGTCATCCGGTACCTCTTTGGTTCACGAGACTCATATCTCTATCACACTCGAGGTATGAATGCCCCCTGATCGGGAATATTACTTTCACAGTAGTAAAACGATTTTTCTTGGTAACCAAGCTCAATTTAGTGCCAAAACATACGTTATTGTTACTAACAGCAAGTTGGAAAATGCATGAAGACTCACCGATTAGAAGTGACATCGCTGCCCTGGCTCGTCTTCCTGCGAATCTTCAACCTTGTAATCCATCCGAACTCAACGACAGCCTTCTTAGCCTTCTCTTTCTCCGTCGCTTTGCCTGCAATTTTCCTGTTTTCCTCGCTGGGTTTTCTCCTTTCTGGTCGGAAGTTTCCGTATCGGATCACCTGTTTGAGTCGCACTTCTTTCATCTTCAACCTTCGCAGGCATTTTGTGTATCTGAGGCGAGACAAAGGAACGTTAGAGGAATATGGTTGAATCTTTACGGTGATATACGTGGGGAGTATGATACACACTCCAACGGAAGACTTCGTTCAGAGGACGTTATCTACAATTTAGGTGATATACTAAAGTGACATTAGAAGATAAAATTATTTATTCAATTTTTTGGCAACATATTGACTATATTTGAAGCATTTTGTGGCAACAATATCAACGTTTTATCTTTGTTACTATTTACCCTTGTTGAACTGTTATAAGTTCTTGTGAAGAAAGCAGTTTCTGAAAGCTGAGTAGTACCAGTATTTTCTGTTATTGCCCTTTCATTCACTGTTCTTAAGCATAAGAAAATGAATCTAGTTCTAAGACGTCCAAATTACCACCATGTTAGCGATTTTGAGTAGACTTATTGTCTACCGAGACTTTTTTCATACTGTCCACGGTTAGTGCTACCTCTGACTGCGGACCACTGTCGTCAACGTTTGAACTGGAGCAGAGAACGGCAACATTGGGGTCGCAATATGACTGCAGAAGACGAGAATATAGCCAAGAAAAATAATAAAATCTCGTAGTTTTTGTGAAGAAAGCAGTTTTTGAAAGCTGAGCAGTACAGATATTTTCAGTCATTGCCCTATCATTCACTGTTCTTAAGCATAAGAAAATGTCTCTAGTTCTGAGACGTCCAAATTACCACATTGTTAGCGATTCTGATAGGAGTAGACTTATTGTTTATCGAGACTTTTTTCATACTGTCCACGGTTAGTGCTACCTCTGACTGCGGACCACTGTCGTCAACGTTTGAACTGGAGCAGAGAACGGCAACATTGGGGTCGCAATATGACTGCAGAAGACGAGAATATAGCCAAGAAAAATAATAAAATCTCGTAGTTTTTGTGAAGAAAGCAGTTTCTGAAAGCTGAGTAGTACAGGTATTTTCAGTTATTGCCCTTTCGTTCACTGTTCTTAAGCATAAGAAAATGTCTCTAGTTCTAGGACGTTCAAATTACCACCATGTTAGCGATTTTGACAGGAGTAGACTTATTGTCTATCGAGACTTTTTTCAAACTGTCCACGGTTAGTGCTACCTCTGACTGCGGACCACTGTCGTCAACGTTTGAACTGGAGCAGAGAACGGCAACATTGTGGTCGCAATATGACTGCAGAAGACGAGAATATAGCCAAGAAAAATAATAAAATCTCGTAGTTTTTGTGAAGAAAGCAGTTTCTGAAAGCTGAGCAGTACATGTATTTTCAGTTATTGCCCTTTCATTCACTGTTCTTAAGCATAAGAAAATGTCTCTAGTTCTAGGACGTTCAAATTACCACCATGTTAGCGATTTTGACAGGAGTAGACTTATTGTCTATCGAGACTTTTTTCAGACTGTCCACGGTTAGTGCTACCTCTGACTGCGCACCACTGTCGTCAGCATTTGAACTGGAGCAGAGAACGGCAACGTTGGAGTCGCAATATGACTGCAGAAGACGAGAATATAGCCAAGAAAAATAATAAAATCTCGTAGTTTTTGTGAAGAAAGCAGTTTCTGAAAGCTGAGTAGTACAGGTATTTTCAGTCATTGCCCTTTCATTCACTGTTCTTAAGCATAAGAAAATGTCTCTAGTTCTGAGACGTCCAAATTACCACCTTGTTAGCGATTTTGACAGGAGTAGACTTATTGTCTATCGAGACTTTTTTCAGACTGTCCACGGTTAGTGCTAGCTCTGACTGCGGACCACTGTCGTCAACGTTTGAACTGGAGCAGAGAACGGCAACATTGGGGTCGCAATATGACTGCAGAAGACGAGAATATAGCCAAGAAAAATAATAAAATCTCGTAGTTTTTGTGAAGAAAGCAGTTTCTGGAAGCTGAGTAGTACAGGTATTTTCAGTTATTGCCCTTTCGTTCACTGTTCTTAAGCATAAGAAAATGCCTCTAGTTCTAGGACGTTCAAATGACCACCATGTTAGCGATTTTGACAGGAGTAGACTTATTGTCTATCGAGATTTTTTTCAGACTGTCCACGGTTCGTGCTACCTCTGACTGCGGACCACTGTCGTCAACGTTTGAACTGGAGCAGAGAACGGCAACATTGGGGTCGCAATATGACTGCAGAAGACGAGAATATAGCTACCAAAAATAATTTTTATCATTTACTTAATATGCTTCATTAAGTACTTATACAAAATTTTATTAAAATAAAACCATTTAAACTGGGTGTTCGGATTTATATGTCACTTAGTATATTTGTAACAGCTTGTACGTTAGATTGGTATTATTTGATCTCCCCTCGTAATACGAATAATTATACTCTTCCTTCGTCGCATATGCTTTGTTACCAAATGCAGGAAATTGGGCTCTTAATTACACAATGGCTTACGCATTTCACGGAGACTATAAACTGAATTATAGTTCATTTATGGTAGGTATATGGTTGCAGTCTGATTACCCCCATTTTCTATGATAATGATATGCACATAAAGTCGAGCCAGGAAAGCGTTTTCCCTCTGAAGAATAAACCTTTAGGATGTCAATTTTCGAAAAGGTGTTATTAGGATTCTTCCTCCAAACAAAGTGGTTCTTTAAAGATCTGTTCAGTGAACTTTTATATTTTTAAAAACCGTATGGGGACCACTGAAGCGTTGATAACAATTGACGACGGGCTTCCCATCTGCATTCGTGTATCCTGCGCTTTGATTGGCTGGTTCAAAAAGTCCTGCGTTCTGACCGGTTGCTTGACATACGGTTCAAATGCGGTGTTGCCGGGTTGTGTAAAAAGTCTTTGAAAACTGATAATTTAAAAAATATACTTCTAGTTTTTAATATGAAACGGCGAATACGCTATTCGCCATGGTGTGACGTCATACAAATTGTAAACAAAATCTTCTTCAAATATTTCTCAACAACTCCCAGTAACGTAGAAAGTTATCCTGCTGTCGAATGTCACATCCAAGTTACGAACCGTGGTAATACCTTTCCTCCAAAGTTATAGGGATAAAGTTTTTGTTGCTTTCAATAGAACGTTATTACTTTTATATCCAGATGCAGTTTATTCAACAAACAACAATTTTACAAATTTGATAATTGACACTGCAGATCAGTAAAGAAGTAGTAGCAAGTGATTAAGCAAAAATTACTGCGGAATTGACGTGGCAGAGTTGCAGGCTTGGACCTTGACAAAACTTTCGAGCAGTTAATATCGTGCTATTTATATCCGAAAACTTTGTAGATGCGTACTTTCCCTGCTGTAACGACAAAAGCCAGAGGCCGTCTTGGTATAAACACGTGCAGCATCAGAAATGTCTAACTTTGAGCATATTTTTCCTTTTAATGCTTCACGTCTCACTGCCTGACATTATAGCTCATTCAAGTTATATGTACGCGTAATAACAAGGTCCTTAGTGTGGACCGTGTGCTTGTTTATTACTTTCTATGCCAAAACTGGCAAAAAAATTCGAGAATGATTTAAATGATGAAAGCCCGACGTTTTCGGTCAGACCGGTGATCATTTTTGCGATCCAAATGGCCTTTGACCGATTATGAATTTCGACTGCAACATTCGAAAACTGCCCACCACGGATTTATCAAAAATCATTGATTAGATGAAAAAACGACGAGTTACGTCGAAAGATTTTTCAAGGGACAGGTTGATCACCTTAAAAAAATTTAATGGCGAGGGGTAGCGAGTAATAGCTTGTTTGGAAGGTATTTCGTGGTCCTTTATTTTGGCGGGCAGCATTTTGAACACTTATTGAAATAACAAAGTGATACTTTCGTGTATTTTGTTTTCTATATGAACAAATTAGGATAAACGAGAGATTTTTCTAATTTTCTCGAAAACGAATGGAGCGATTTTAAAAAATCAAACGTCAAAAGAAAGGATTTAGAAAGACCTTTTAAACAAGCTATACTTCGTGTGATTTGAATTTTTTGAGGGAACGACCCTGGGGCCCGAAAGTGAAAAGGGGAGAAGTAGTTTTTGGTTAGAAGGTTGACGCATTGATAAATCTTTTGACGTGCGTCGATGTTTTTTCTTTTATAGAGAGGTTTTTGATGAATCCGTAACGGGCAGTTTTCAAATGAACGTTATATACAGGGTGTCCGCAAAGTTGGGGTTTTCCCTCTACACGACGTGTAGATCTTGAAAACATAAGCAATTCTTCTTAGTACCATATACACCAATGTCTTAAGGGAACCGAGATAAAGGGCTCTGCAACATCAAAAATATCTGAATACCGTCCTGTAGCCGCGACCCGCCGCGATATCCCCGACTGGTACAAGGTCTCAACCCGACGGCAGAACTGGGTCGGGGTCAGTGTGTCAGGTTAGTATGCAACCTTCAACCGACGGTTACGGTCACGCGTGTAGAGGTAAACGAACTCGTATAATCGATTGCGTTTCAAAAAACAACAAGCACTAGAGACGTGGCTAGAGAAGTGCAAGTATCAAAAACTAAAGTGTGGCAAACGCTGCGTGAAGAGGTTTCATTCACGGGGTATATGAAAAAAATAATATCAGATGTCTGTTACATGGAACGGAAGTCATCATGAAGTGAGTATGTTAAAAAAACCTAAAGTCTACGAAACTAGTGACAGGTACGTGACTTCGTCTTCCGCACAAAATACGTGAACATGAGTGGTCGCTCTGCGGATTTGCAAGTAAAATCCTCGCAATAAACCGCTCGCAATCGGTTCTCCTAATCGCAACAGCGTTTAATTAATATGTTAATTAGTTTTTCACCGAAAATTACCGCCGTTTAAAATCTAGCCTCGGCTAGAGCGCTGAATCATACGCCGTTTTATCAGAAAATCACCGGTCGTGTCCGACACTTACCCGTTCTTTTACAATTTCATTAAAGCTGAAAGAGTCATTTCAGCCTGCGAGCTGATCCGAACGGAAATAGTTAAATGTTCGCTGAATCGAGACTGTTTGTTTTCCGTCTTTGTGATGTATACGATGTTGTAGGCGTAAGCCTGAATACCGGAGCAAAAAATCGGTCAGTTT